CAGAAATGTCTTCTGACTTCTGCTTAATGCTGTTTGTGCATCAGGATTACCAATGGAGTATTGTAGAGTATTAAAACATGATTACTAATACAGGATTGTAGAACAGTACATTGTTACTAACACTATATTATACAGAACAGTACATTGTTACTAACACAAATATTATACAGAACAGTACATTGTTACTAATACAATATTATACAGAAGAGTACATTGTTACTAACACAATATTATACAGAACAGTACATTGTTACTAATACAATATTATACAGAAGAGTACATTGTTACTAATACAATATTATACAGAACAGTACATTGTTACTAATACAATATTATACAGAAGAGTACATTGTTACTAACACAATATTATACAGAACAGTACATTGTTACTAACACTATATTATACAGAACAGTACATTGTTACTAACACTATATTATACAGAACAGTACATTGTTACTAACAGAATATTATACAGAACAGTACATTGTTACTAACACAATATTATACAGAACAGTACATTGTTACTAACACTATATTATACAGAAGTACATTGTTACTAACACAATATTATACAGAACAGTACATTGTTACTAACAGAATATTATACAGAACAGTACAGTACATTGTTACAGAAATACAATATTATACAGAACAGTACATTGTTACTAACAGAATATTATACAGAACAGTACATTGTTACTAACACAATATTATACAGAACAGTACATTGTTACTAACACAATATTATACAGAACAGTACATTGTTACTAATTATACAGAATATTATACAGAACAGTACATTGTTACTAACACAATATTATACAGAACAGTACATTGTTACTAATACAATATTATACAGAAGAGTACATTGTTACTAACACAATATTATACAGAACAGTACATTGTTACTAACACTATATTATACAGAACAGTACATTGTTACTAACAGAATATTATACAGAACAGTACATTGTTACTAACAGAATATTATACAGAACAGTACATTGTTACTAACAATATTATACAGAACAGTACATTGTTACTAACACAATATTATACAGAACAGTACATTGTTACTAACACTATATTATACAGAACAGTACATTGTTACTAACACAATATTATACAGAACAGTACATTGTTACTAACACTATATTATACAGAACAGTACATTGTTACAGAACAGAATATTATACAGAACAGTACATTGTTACTAACACTATATTATACAGAACAGTACATTGTTACTAACACAATATTATACAGAACAGTACATTGTTACTACTAACAGAACAATATTATACAGAACAGTACATTGTTACTAACACTATATTATACAGAACAGTACTATATAACACAATATTATACAGAACAGTACATTGTTACTAACACAATATTATACAGAACAGTACATTGTTACTAACAGAATATTATACAGAACAGTACATTGTTACTAACACAATATTATACAGAACAGTACATTGTTACTAACACAATATTATACAGAACAGTACATTGTTACTAATACAATATATTATACAGAACAGTACATTGTTACTAACAGAATATTATACAGAACAGTACATTGTTACTAACACAATATTATACAGAACAGTACATTGTTACTAAACAATATTATACAGAACAGTACATTGTTACTAATATAATACATTGTTACAAACAGAATTTATATAGAATACATACATTGTTATTAATAGACAACTTTATATAGAATAATACATTGTTACTAATAGAACTTTATATAGAATAATACATTGTTACTAACAGAATATTATATAGAATAATACATTGTTACTAACAACTATTATATAGAAATATATGTTTCTAATAGAACTTTATATAGAATAATACATTGTTACTAACAGAATATTATATAGAATGATACATTGTTACTAATAAAAAACTTTATATAGAATAATACATTGTTACAAATAGAACTTTATATAGAATAATACATTGTTTTACTAACAGAATATTCTATAGAATGATACATTACTTTACTAATTATAACTTTATATAGAATAATACATTGTTACTAACAGAATATTCTCTAGAATAATACATTGTCATTAATAGATTATATAGAATGATACATTGTTACTAATAGAACTTTATATAGAATAATACATTGTTACTAACAGAATATTCTCTAGAATAATACATTGTTGTTATTAATAGAATATCATATAGAATAACACATTGTTACTAATAGAATAGTATCTAGAATAATACATTGTTATTAATAGAATATCATATAGTAATAACACATTGTTACTAATAGAATAGTATCTAGAATAATACATTGTTACAATAGAACTTTATAGGGAATAATACAATGTTACAAACAGAACTTTATATATAGAATAATACATTGTTACTAATAGAATAGAATATAGAATGATACATTGTTTACAAATACTGTACAATTCAATACCTCGAATGGACTGTACCTTGTACAGTTGTCACCTTCAAAGTAGTCCCCTTGTGAAGTGATGCACTCTTTTCTAGGTGACTGTGCCACTACCAGAAACATTCCTGGAATAATTTTCCAGAACTCAGTATCTTTGTTGCGGAGTGCTGGATGTCCGGAATGTCATCAAATCTGTGTGTCCCTGTAAGGTGTGTTTTAAATTTTGGAAAGAGCCAAAAGTCTCAGTCTGTGGAGTAAGGTGGTTGGTCAAATTTCAGAATAGATTTCTGGACTAGGAACTCACAAACACTTATTGCCTTGTGTGCAGGAGCATAGTCGTGGTGTGAAGCATCTATCTGTACACACACACACACATATATATATATATATATATATATATACATATACATATACACACACATATATATATCGCATATACACACACACACACACACATTATATATATATATATATATATCAATATAAAATAAAAAAACAAAGTATTTACGCAGCAGTTTTTCAAATGCAGTTTTGTTTTGAAAAAATACACTTTAGCAAAATTTAAAAAAAAATACAATATATATACCCCAACTGTTTTGTAAATACAGTATGTAAGAGGATGTTACGCGCCGAGTCAATTGATACATAACATGTCCCACTTTAAAATTGCACGCTTATGGAATGGTGACAACTACATAACGTACTTATAAATCTTCATAGGTGACACTTTAAAAATGTTTACAGGTTACCAATTTTAAAGTTAGAGGAGGTCTGACACTAGAAATATTGCTCTCACTCCGACGTTCGCGGGCGATACCTCACATGTGTGTGCTGCGAACACCGTTTCCATATACATGCGTGATTTACATATGAATTCACTTCTGCACGCAAGCATGGGGAGGGTGGGCGGGGGGGGGGGGCTTAAGGGGGTGCTTACAATTTTTTTCTTATTTATTCATTTATTTATGTATTTCTACACTGTCACATTTATTCCTATATGCATGACAGGTTCTCTTTAAGGAGAGATCTGAGGTCAAAAAGACCCCAAATCTCTCCTTTACCTTTAAAAGCAAAAAAAAAAAAAAGAATTTTTGTTTTATGGAGAGAAAAAAAATTAGCCTCTCATTGCCCCCATCTTCAGCTGGCTGCACGTTGGATCATTTCTTGGGAGCGCCGGGTTGAACAGAAACCTTGAAAAACAGCGGCGAACGGTGGGAGGGGATGTCCACTGCCGCCACTACTCAAACGTTCCAGTGGCAGAAGAGCCGCTAGCACCACCTTCAATAGAAATCCAGCTGTCGGCTGAAAAACAAAAAATACAGGGGGTTATGGCCGATTTCTTCATCCATAACCCCGGTAAACGACTTGAAGACCACAACGTTTATATATGTATGGCGCAGGGGCGGACTAACAACTCATGGGGCCCCCGGGCAATACGGGATCATGGGGCCCCTGTGTCCTTGCCCAAACTCAAAAAAGCCTATGAAAAAGGTACCAGGGGCATCTCATGGGGCCCCCTACTTACCCCGGGCCCTCGGGCAGTGCCTGAGTTTCCAAATGGTCAGTCCGCCCCTGGTATGGCGGTCTTCAAGCGGCTAGAGAACGTTATTTAGCGCCGCTGGGAACATCCAGACAAAGCGGCAGAAAACTTTCTTTGTAAAGTTGGTGATAAATTTGGATTTTACAGAACAAACCACGGAGCCGGAATGTCTACACGCTGCTGATTAGGACAAGGACGAGTCATAGATTTGCTATACGCGCAGTCTGATCTTTCCCCGTCGTGCTTGTTTAATCACGTGTGTGATGGGACAGAACCGTGCCAGATACATCCCATGATCCGCGGAGTCACGCTCTCATCACGCACTTCTTGTCCCGTCAAAATTGATAAACGGCGCGGGAATAGTAAAAGGCACAAATTAACATCGCTGTGTATGAATAATACACCCTTAAAGGGCAAGTTCGCCTTTAGTGATTAGTGATTGTGTTTTTCGTTAAAGCGGAGTTCCACCTAAAAAAAAAAAATAAAAGTCAGTAGATACAAAAACTGGAGCTGCTGACTTTTAAAATACAGCCACTTAACTGTCCCTCGGTCCAGCGGTGTCCTCACCAATGCTGGTTTCTCCGGTCGTCTTCTCTCTCCCTGGCACCGGCATCTTTAGTGTGGGCATCCGGCTGTGACAGCTTGCGGCTTCACAGCTGGGTGCCCACTGCACATGTGCGAGAAGTGCTGCGCTTTGTGAATGGCCCCGTAGTCTTCTAGGACCTGTCACGTGTCCCAGAAGACTACGGGAAGGGAGGGGTGAGGACAACTTCTGCTTCCGAACGCCTAGGCAATCACAGCGGAAGTGGGGGCTGGTACCTGTCAAATTCAGGTACCCGCTCTCCAAAGGTGCCAATCTTTAATGGGGAGCGGGGGACAAAGCCTTGAAGCAGAACTGCCCCTTTTGGGTGGAGTTCTGCTTTAAGTCCCCCCCCATTTCATCTAAGGGCAGGGAGTGTTCAATACTTACCTTCCTCCCCGCACCTATGATCTTCTATGGTAGGACTTGCCATAGAAGATCCCCGACGTGTTATCCTATGTGTCCATCCCCGGCATGTTATCCTATGTGTCCATCCCCGGCGTGTTATCCTATGTGTCCATCCCCGGCGTGTTATCCTATGTGTCCATCCCCGGCGTGTTATCCTATGTGTCCATCCCCGGCATGTTATCCTATGTGTCCATCCCCGGCGTGTTATCCTATGTGTCCATCCCCGGCATGTTATCCTACGTGTCCATCCCCAGCATGTTATCCTATGTGTCCATCCCCGGCGTGTTATCCTACGTGTCCATCCCCGGCGTGTTCTCCTACGTGTCCATCCCCGGCGTGTTATCCTATGTGTCCATCCCCGGCGTGTTATCCTACGTGTCCATCCCCGGCGTGTTATCCTATGTGTCCATGCCCGGCGTGTTATCCTATGTGTCCATCCCCGGCGTGTTATCCTACGTGTCCATCCCCGGCGTGTTATCCTATGTGTCCATCCCCGGCGTGTTATCCTACGTGTCCATCCCCGGCGTGTTATGCTATGTGTCCATCCCCGGCATGTTATCCTATGTGTCCATCCCCGGCATGTTATCCTATGTGTCCATCCCCGGCATGTTATCCTACGTGTCCATCCCCAGCATGTTATCCTATGTGTCCATCCCCGGCGTGTTCTCCTACGTGTCCATCCCCGGCGTGTTCTCCTACGTGTCCATCCCCGGCGTGTTATCCTATGTGTCCATCCCCGGCGTGTTATCCTACGTGTCCATCCCCGGCATGTTATCCTATGTGTCCATCCCCGGCGTGTTATCCTATGTGTCCATCCCCGGCATGTTATCCTATGTGTCCATCCCCGGCGTGTTATCCTATGTGTCCATCCCCGGCATGTTATCCTATGTGTCCATCCCCGGCATGTTATCCTATGTGTCCATACACACATAGACCGGAATCAGCATTTTTTTGGCTGGGACGTTTTTCGGCTGGAAAAAAAAACCCGGACTAGTGAGCTTCTAGAGGAGTTTTTTAGCTGTAAAAACGCTCTAATGCTGAAAAACGCAGTAAAAGGCCACAAGCCGGTGTTTTTGGATATTTTTTTTACCATTAAAAAAATGCAAACTCGAAAAATCGTGGCAAAACACCACTAACCGCTAATGCAAAAATGCTAAAAAAACCCCCTAGAGATAGCAATACACACCAAACTGAGCATGTGCAAAATGCCTACAGTTCAGTCTGTCTTATCAGGAGATAAGAGGTGGTGCACAATGCAACGGATTAACCCCTTAGGTCCCACAGCGAGTATAACAAGCATGCTTTACTGCATCTACAGACTGATGGTACTGTTGGGGGTTTAGTAACACTTTAACTAAATGAAATTGATTCTTTCAGGTTTTTGTTGTGATTAGCCATGATTGGCCACAACTAATCACATGATACAGATGTGCTGTGATTGGCCCAGTCTGTGCATGTTATCACTGTGACCAATCACAGCTAGTGACACAATTGTATACAATGGATGGCATGAAAGTCAGTCATCCATTGTTTACCATTGTCAAGTGACCTACTGTGATTCGTCGCAGCAGGTCACATCAGTGGTAGGTGCGGGGATGCGGTCCGCACCGGGTGACAATGACCGCATGAGGTGACACCGGACCTGCTCCTCAAAAAGGTAAAATGTAAAGCAAGCCAACCATCCCCGCAGGATGGATACGATCCATCCTGTGGGGATCGTCGGCTTTCTTTACAACTTACCTTTTCTTGGAGCGGGTCCGGTGTCACCTCGTATAGGTTGCATGCCGACGATCCCCGCAGGATGCATCGGATCTGCAGATTGAGCATAATGGATCAGAGTCCTATCCATTATGCTCAATCCGCAGATCGGATCCATTCTGCGGGGATCGTCGAAGGGGGTGTCACCAAGTGTTACCGCACCGGGTGACACCTACCCTAGGGACGCCTCTGGTCACATATTGAAAATGGGTCGGTACACGGATTTTTCATCGGCAGAGGTACCTGGTTTTGACAGTTACCCGTTCCCACTTCCGGTCAGCTGAGCCGCGCCTTCTTCCCCCGCAGCCTTCTGGGACATATCACAGGTCCCAGGAGACTGCGGGACCATTCACAAAGTGCAGTGCATATGCAATAGGAAACCAGCTGTGAAGGTTCAAGGCTTTACTTCCAGTTTCACTTACTGAAAATGCCGGTACTTGCACCCAAAGCCGAAAGATTGGGTGAAGGCATCGCTGGATCCCTAGACAGGTAAGTGTCCTTATATTAACCCCTTGACGCCGACGTCACATAAATATGCGGCCCTCACAGAACTGGACTTTTTTCCGTGGGGCCGCATATTTGTGTACCTGTCTTTGTGCTGGGACCGCACCGCACTGCACACTCCCAGCACAAAGACCGCAGTGTCACTGAGAGACCCGGGTCCCGTTCTAACAATCGGGATCTGGGACTCCCGATTCCAGGTCACATGATCGCTGTGATAGCCTCTGATTGGCTATCACAGTGATCAGTCACTGTGCAGCCCGGCCCCCTTGTTTTTTTCTCTCTCTATGAACGGAGAAGAGAGATACATTGTATCTCTCTAACTCCTGGCATACAGAGAAAAAAAAATGTTTGTAAAAAAAAAAAAAAAAAGATAAATAAATAAATATCAAAAAAATAATAGAAAAAATACCTAGATCAAGGTTTGATCAAGGTCAGTGCCAGGGTAAGTGTTTGGGTCAAAGTCTGGGTCAAAGGTCAAGGTCAAAAGGTCAGGGTCAAAGGTCAGGATTTAAAAAAAAAAATTGGAGTCAGTGTCAATGTCAGTGTGTTTTTTGGTAAAAAAAAAAAAAAAAAGACAAAAACAAAATGTGCACTATTGATTCTGGGCTGTACTTCGGGTACAAACAACAAATAACATACACATATATGGTATCACTGCGATCGCCAAGAGCTGGAGAATTTACTTTGGGTTTTTTCTTTGGTGGTAGGTTATGGTAGTAACAAGAAACACACAGCTAAATAAAAAAAATGATTTTTTTACTATTTTAGGCCAGTTTTCCTTTGAAAATCAGGAGATATCCATTACCATTTACCACCAAATGAAAGCCCAATTTGTCCTGAAAAAAACGCGGTATAATCCACCTGGATGTAGTTGTGATGATATGTACGGTTTTACTAAAACATGTCAACGTTGCAAAATTGTGCTTAGGCATTTAGATTTGTTTTACCGTTAGGCATGAATATTTGTATATAGTTACATAGTTAGTCTGGCTGAAAAAAAGACAAAAGTCCATCCAGTTCAACCATTCAAAAAAAAAAAGTTATAATCCTACACCCACAGTTGATCCAGAAAAAGGCAAAAAACCCAGCAAAGAACGATCCAATTTGCTCCTGCTGGGGAAACAAAATCCTTCCTAATCCCCCGAGAGGCAATCGAATATCATGGGCTTAAAATTTCAAGTCCTGAGCCACTAGCCAGGCCTTAGAGTTACTCGCCACCAACAAACACACACACAGAAATACCTGTACACACACACAGACATGTACATACACACACATACACACACAGAAACATGTACACACACGCACAGAGACACATATACAGACACATATATACACACACAGGCACGTACAGACATGCATACACACAGATACATGTACATACACAGAAATACACACGCACAGACACATGTACATACACACAGACACATGTACATACATACACATGTACATGCATGCACAGACACATGTACATACATACACAGACACAGGTACACACAGACACATGTACGTAGATACACACAAACAAACATGTACACAGACACATGTACAGATGCACACATGTACATACACACAGACAGATGTACAATTGTACATGCATACACAGACACACACACAAACACACACACATGTACACATACACCCACCCCCATAAAAAGTTGCAGTACTTCGTTGTTCACTCACAGAGCCGGGTACTGCACTCTAGGGGGAGGCAGAGAGCACAGCACACACTCCCTGCTTTGCTTTCACTGCGCTCAGCTATTGAGCAGTCTGGCGGCTTCCAGTGCCAATGACAGATCCAGCCTGAGCTCCGAGCCTGCTCAGCAAGACGGCCCTGGGGGACACACTCGCCCCCACCATAATTTCCACTCGCCATTGGCAAGCAGGTGAGTGGAAATTCCAAGCCCTGATCATGTATATCTGCTGACTTTTAATTTTTTTTGGGGGGGGGGTGCCTGGAGCTGCGCTTTATGGGGGAGCTTTTATCATTTCGACAAAATTTTGCAAACTCAAATTCTCTAATTTTGCTACAAAAACAAAAGCACCAAAATCCCTGCGCTCCTCCCTGCAGGCCACATGACCTATCGTAAGAGCTGACGAGTGGTCACGTGACCCATGATTTACATACTAATAATGAGGCGAAACGGATGTGGATGGCAGATCACCGCATCACGACAACGGCACACGTATGAATAATTTGAGGAAACATTCCTGAAAACGACTTTATTTCTCCCCAACACATAATTCTCAGCATAATCATTTGTCATGTCGCAGGTAGCCGGGGAACAAAAGCAGCATTGATGAATGGATCCCTGAAAAACACCGAGCTATATTTTAATTAACCAGAGGTAACAAAACGGAATCCGCGCAAACCTGACGTATATATTTTTATAGCGCAATTACACATTTCACTGAGCCGGAAATTTTACAGCTTCCACGGAAATTATTTAACACCCGAAGCCCGGAATATTAACAAGAGAAACTCGAGCTGTAAATTTCGTCTGAAAGTTGCACAGCAAGTCGGTGTCACTGGTTGTTTGCAGAATGTGATGAAGACCCATCTGATCCTGCAAGGAACCCCGCTGGTCCTTTCTTTGAAAGTTCTGAAAAGTGTTGATTGTTTGTGAGGCTCCTTGGGTTTAATTAAATGATATCATTGGGCTTTGTGAGGCTTTCTCTTGTGTGCATGGAAGGAAAAAAAATCCAAGGAGAAGCAGGAAAAGGATATGGGGTCATAAAGGGTAACCAAACCCAAAAACACAAATGTAGTTTATTGCTTTCTACCAGTCCTTGGGTGTGGTGGCTGCAGGGCTTTTTTTCAGCTGGAACATGGGGGAACGCAGTTCCGGAACCTCCAGCACCTCCAGCACTGAATGTATGTAATGGCACGTAGTGTTGGGGTGTGCTGGAGGGTCTATTGATACTGGCTGCTGAAGGATCTAGTGTTTCTGGGGTCTATTGTAATTGGGAAGGCCAGTTGTTGCTGGGAGAGATCTGTCGTTGAGGGAGGGGTCTATTGTTGCTGGCTGCTGGAGGGTCTATTGTTGCTGGGGGGTCATATATTACTGTGTGATCAATTGTTGCTGGGGGAGATCTACTGTTGAGGGAAGGGTCTATTGTTGCTGGCTGCTGGAGGGTCTATTGATGTTGGCTGCTGGAAGATCTATTGTTGCTGGGGGGATCATATATTACTTGGGCGTCAATTGTTTCTGGGAGAGATCTACTGTTGAGGGAGGGGTCTATTGTTGCTGGCTGCTGTAAGGTCTATTGATGTTGGCTGCTGGAAGATCTATTGTTGCTGGGGGGATCATATATTACTTGGGCGTCAATTGTTTCTGGGAGAGATCTACTGTTGAGGGAGGGGTCTATTGTTGCTGGCTGCTGTAAGGTCTATTGATGTTGGCTGCTGGAAGATCTATTGTTGCTGGGGGGATCATATATTGGCTGTCAATTGTTTCTAGGAAGATCTACTGTTGAGGGAGGGGTCTATTGTTGCTGGAAGGGGGGTCATATATTACTTGGGTGATCAATTGTTTGCTGGGGAGAGATCTACTGTTGAGGGAGGGGTCTATTGTTGCTGGCTGCTGGAGGGTCTATTGATGTTGGCTGCTGGAAGATCTATTGTTGCTGGGGGATCATATATTACTTGGGCGTCAATTGTTTCTGGGAGAGATCTACTGTTGAGGGAGGGGTCTATTGTTGCTGGCTGCTGTAAGGTCTATTGATGTTGGCTGCTGGAAGATCTATTGTTGCTGGGGGGATCATATATTACTTGGGCGTCAATTGTTTCTAGGAGAGATCTACTGTTGAGGGAGGGGTCTATTGTTGCTGGCTGCTGGAAGATCTATTGTTGCTGGGGGTCATATATTACTGGGTGATCAATTGTTGCTGGGGGAGATCTACTGTTGAGGGAGGGGTCTATTGTTGCTGGCTGCTGGAGGGTCTATTGATGTTGGCTGCTGGAAGATCTATTGTTGCTGGGGGGATCATATATTACTTGGGCGTCAATTGTTTCTGGGAGAGATCTACTGTTGAGGGAGGGGTCTATTGTTGCTGGCTGCTGGAGGGTCTATTGATGTTGGCTGCTGGAAGATCTATTGTTGCTGGGGAGGGTCATATATTACGTGGGGGTCAATTGTTGCTGTGAGAAATCTACTGTTGAGGAATGGGTCTATTGTTGCTGGCTGCTGGAGGATCTATTCATGTGGGCTGCTATTATCTATTGTTGTTGGGGTGAATCTATTGTTGCCAGGGAAGGATTTATTGTTGCTGAGGAATCAATTGTTGCCAGGAATCTATGGTTTCTGGGGGGGGTCTATTGTTACCGACTGTAGAGGATCTATTTTACTACCGTCAGTAAAAAATTCCTTACAAATTACTTAGCACCACAACATGACACTTGGTTCTGTATTCTCTAAAAAGGGTGGTACTGGGAGGTGGGTAGGTGGGGGTGGAACCAAGGGACGGTGCTCGGAGGTGGGTAGAGGGTGGAACCAAGGGACGGTGCTCGGAGGTGGGTAGAGGGTGGAACCAAGGGACGGTGCTCGGAGGTGGGTAGAGGGTGGAACCAAGGGACGGTGCTCGGAGGTGGGTAGGGGTGGAACCAAGGGACGGTGCTCGGAGGTGGGTAGAGGGTGGAACCAAGGGACGGTGCTCGGAGGTGGGTAGAGGGTGGAACCAAGGGACGGTGCAAGGGACGGTGCGCGAGGTGGGTAGAGGGTGGAACCAAGGGACGGTGCTTGGAGGTGGGTAGGGGGTGGAACCAAGGGACGGTGCTTGGAGGTGGGTAGGGGGTCGGACAAAGGGACAATGCTTGGAGGTAGGAAGGGGGCGGTGACATAGAAGGGGGAGTACCTGCATCTATCCTTCAAGAAAAAAAGCCCTGGGTGCCTGTATTAGTTTTCTTTTTTCCAGAATATTTTCAGCAAGCAGGCAAAAAAATGAACTTCATGTGGTGCTCAAGGATCCACTACACGAGTTTATAATAAAAACATACAATGTACTTTATTAGTGAAACATCATAAAACATGAATAATTAAAAGTTTCTTCCTGTCTGGCTTGGCATGATTGACTCATTCCCTCATGAGGCTCAACCTCCAAGCCCAAAATACAGAGTCGAAAACACGAAGGCCAGTATATAGACACGTTATGTATCAAGGAGTGGGGTGTCCAAGGAGAAAGCATGAATTTTACAAGGCATTTCGAGGATTTGTAACCGCTTCTTTGGGAGAGAGGGAGATAAAATGTATCTACAAATCAAACATAATTCATACATGAGAAAAACAAACCAAAAACAATGCATGTGTAGTGTACCCCCCAAAGGGCAGCTGTTGAACTTAGTCCTAGTTCCTCAAATAGATCACATAGCCAGGTACATAGCATTTTCTTCCATCTTCCAGTAACTCAAAGGATCAGTCTAGGGGTGTCTTTTAGGGTTTTTATTGGGAATGTTGAACTGGAATGGGGTGAGGAGAAGCATGGTATACCCCAAAAACTAAAGAACTGGACAATTTGAGGACTCCTTAGCAAACGTGCTGAACTGCACAAAATGATGTCCCATGGAATTTCTCTGCTGACGGTGACTATGACTTCTCTCATGATGATGACTATGACTTCTCTAGAGGACCAAAAGCTACACACAGTCACTGACTTTCCAGCACTGGGGCCATTTACTCACACTGCCACAGGATCATTGGTTGCCTCCTTCCAATATCCACAAGGCTCCTTTCAGTGAGGGAGACACAGACGCACACCACCATAGGACAGCTGGGTACTTTCCCCACCAACTTTCTCCTGGCTTTCTCCAGTGATCTTCTCTTGAACTAAATTGATTTTAGGACTTAAGTTTGTTAATAGGTCCCCCAGTTAAAGCGGTAGTAAACCACGCCCATTATAAAGAAAAAAAAATCCCCTGCAAGGTAAAGACATAATGTGCTAGTACGCATCTCATACTAGCACATTATGAAGGACTTACCTTGCAACAAAGTCCTTCAGTGGTGTGCTGTCATGGTTCCCTGGGGCTTCCATCTTCACCTGGTCTTCCTTCCAGGCTTGTGAACTCTGACTGGCTGACTAGCTGAGCTGCAATGACATCACTTCCGCAGTCACCGCTGTAGAGGCTTCCATCTTCAACCAGTCTTCCTTCCGGGCTTGTGAGCTCTGGTTGACTGACTAGCCAAGCCGAAATTACATCACTCTTGCACTGTCACCACTGTAGAGGATTCCATCTTCACCTGGTCTTCCTTCCAGGTTCGCAAGCTCTGGCTGGCTGACTAGCCGAGCCGCAAGGACATCACTCCCGCACTGCCACCACTGTAGAGGCTTCCATCTTCACCCGGTCTTCCTTCTAGGCTTGTGAGCTCTGGCTGGCTGACTAGCCAAGCCTCAATGACATCACTCCCGCACTGCCACCGCTGTAGAGGCTTCCATCTTCAACCAGTCTTCCTTCTGGGCTTGTGCACTCTGGTTGACTGACTAGCCGAGCCGCAATGACATCACTCCTGTACTGTCCCACTGTAGAAGCTTCCATCTTCAACCGTTCTTCCTTCTGGGTTCGTGAGCTCTGGCTGGCTGACTAGCCGAGCCACAATGACATCGCTCCTGCACTGCCACCGCTGTAGAGGCTTCCATCTTCAACCGGTCTTCCTTTCAGGCTTGTGAGCTATGGTTGACTGACTAGCCGAGCCGAAATTACATCACTCTTGCACTGTCACCACTGTAGAGGCTTCCATCTTCAACCGGTCTTCCTTCTGGGTTCGCGAGCTCTGGTTGACTGACTAGCCGAGCCGCAATGACTTCACTCCTGCACTGTCAGCACTGTAGAGGCTTCCATCTTCACCTGGTCTTCCTTCCGGGCTTGTGAGCTCTGGTTGACTGACTAGCTGAGCCGCAATGACTTCACTCCC